AACAGCCCTTTATTAAAAGGTATGTGTGTATTAACAGGAACATGAAAAAAAAAAAAAAACAAGTAAAACAACCAAGCAATACCCCTATACCCACCAATAATCCCCTTCAAGAACAAAACCGATAAAACCGGCAAAAGGAAAATCAAATAGTTCAATTTTTAGCACCGTTTGGTGCAGTTCCATCCACAGTCAGCAGGGGGCGCCGTCGGGTCACTGGAGATGCAAAACTTGTAATGTCTTATACCGTTCCCCAGGTTGGCGCTGTTGAGTTACCGAAGGTGCAGAACTTGTAATGTTCTATAGTAGTCACCAGGGGGCGCTGTTGGGTCACTGGAGGAGTAGAACTTGTAATGTCCAGCACCCGTCACCAGGCGGCGCTGTGAGATCCTTGGTTGCCGCCAGGTGGTGGGGGAGGAGGGGGGAAGGGGGAGGGAAACAGAAAGTTCTCCCAATGGAAGAAAACTCACGATTTTCAGTTGGTGAGGATTTCGCGGTTAGCCAGGCCTGCAGCTACCAACAGCTACGCAGAGAACAGCAGTAAAACTCTCCTGCAACAGGAAAAGACAAAGAAGAAACCAGGCTAAGATGATATCTAAGATGATATCTCCTTGAGGTATGCACCGGGTTTCTCCATCTTCTTGCATCATCCACCATGTGCAACCAGGTCCTTGGGCAAAAACAACTCCATGAATGGATTTGCCTTTGCTCAAGGCATGGTTAACCCAAACTGTTTGACCTAACATACCTCTCATGTGAACCACTGGGACCTTGTCCTCGTCTACAGTGTGAAGGGATTCTGATTGGGCAGGACCGGCTCGATTGATGGAGCCTCTAGTGTTGACTAACCATGTAGCCTTTGCTAGGTGTTGATCCCAGTGTTTGAAAGTCCCTCCACCCAATGCTTTCAGGGTAGTCTTCAACAGTCCATTGCACCTTTCAACTTTCCCGGCAGCTCGCGGATCATCTTATGGATGGGAATCACAGAGTCTCGGTTCGTTCGGTACTGCCGACGGTGCACTATTGTAGTGGCAATTGGCACTCGCTGTTCCTCAACCTTCAACAGTCCCACTGCAGAAGGGTTGTCCGAGAGGCCAGGTAGCGAATTCAACTGCTTAATTGCTTCTGTCTCTACAGCTGCTATCCCGAAAGCCCACCTATGTCCCTTGGGGTCTTTGAAATCCCCATTCCTAAGGTAGTCAATGCCCAGGATACATGGGGCATCTGGACCAGTCACAATGGGGTGCTTCTGCCACTCCTTTCAGGTCAAACTCACTTCAGCTTCCAACACGGTCAACTGCTGCGACCCTCCTGTCACCCCAGAAATGGAAATAGCCTCTGGTCCCACGTGTTTTGAGGGCATTAACGTGCATTGAGCTCCAGTGTCAACTAAAGCCTTATATTCTTGTGGGTCTGATGTGCCAGGCCACCGGATCCACACCGTCCAATAGACACGGTTGTCCCGTGCCTCTACCTGGCTAGAGGCAGGGCCCCTCTAGTACTGGTTTCTGTCCTGCTCATCACAGGTTTCCGTCTGCATATACTGGCGGGAGGTACCTTCTAGTGGGTCAGATCTCTGC